TCTTCATGAAAATTGAAGGCCATCGCTGTCAAAGAAACACTCATTTTTTGGTTCTTCAGGTGCAAATCTCAACCTGCTCTTTTATTTGTTACATGATCAATATTTGTTGCTGCATCATGCTCCACGAAAAAGAAAGGAGCATGTGAGATTTCCTTTGTTTACTCCATTCTTGTAAGCTCAGGGGAGCAGATTCTAAGAGATGACGAAGCTCCAACATTAAATAAAGAGGAGAAAGCGAGAGGAGAGAGGGAGAGAGGGAGACTTCGCCATCACCGCAATCAGAAAACTAAGAAAGAACCCAAATTCACTAAGTTAATATCATGAGTGTAAAGATAAATTTACATATTGAATTGAATTTGTGAGGGTAGTTTAGGTAATAAATTTGGGTTTAAAAAGAAATTGATAGTTTAATTAAAAATAATATGGGTGTAGTGAGTAAAGGTGTAGAGATAGGTTACATGGGTTCAAATAAAATTTCCCAAAATTAAAAAGAGTGTGTGGAAGGTAAAAATTGTGTGTGAATAGCATTATCCTGTTTTAATCTATATTTACGGAGAGATTAGAACTTGAGTACAAAATTGGTACTTTACCCTAATCAATTTAGCTACGGCTGATCAGCATTTTCGTATTATGAACTTTTTTTTTCCCTTTTTCAGATTTCGGAAGAAACTTTAATTTTTGTTTTTGTATTTACAAATCAATTGTATGTAGCATTTCTTTGCAATCAAAATGATACATATGTCAATTTAATTATGTGCAGTTGAATGAACAAGAACTCGACCAATCATAATATGACACGTGGCTACAACGTAAAATCTGTCATAGGGATCCAAGTGAATTGAAATGTCCCCAGGCTTCCTGCATTTGCCCAAACCAAGTAAATAAATAAATAAATAAAAGTTACCAATTGAGTACAAAAATTCACCACAAGAGCATTAGTTACTGACCTGCAAGATGTCAAAAACTTTTGCTGCAAGGTATTTGTGATGTGAAGCAGCACCTTTCTGCTGCAGCTTATCTGGGTGCAAACATAGCAGCGCCCTTTGGTACGCTCTTTTAACGGAGTTGCCTTCGATTATATCTACAAGAGGTACCGTCTTCCAACCGCTCTCTGGCCAAAGAACCTGTCGTGATTCAGTTTAAACCCGAATCAGTTGCTAACGAGTAGTTAGGCATCAGTCCTAGTGACAATGAAACGGTGAAGTTTATGCCTTGAAGCATACTACTATGCAATATCCGCGGCGACTTTTGAAGATGGAGCATATTGAAAGGATAAACAAAACGAATCAGTGCTTACAGTTTGCATAGTGGTCAGCAGCGAGCGAATGTTTCCTTCCTTCCCTCTTGACCACTGTCGTATCTTAGCATCAATCGCCTGCAGTTTATGGGATAGGACATTACTGCTCGCCGGAAACTGTAACAACATGCTGTGTTTGTTTGTTATGTATTTACCTGGAATTCTTCACGATTGTTGCCGGGTTGTGGCGGCAGTTCTTTTTTCTCATCTTCAGTTATTTCTTTCATCTGTCAACATTGTTCGCGTCAAAACTTTAGTTACTTGTATATTTTAAGGCATAGTATGTAGAAACATAATCGGCATGGAACCCTGAATTCGTTTACTTCAGTCATAAATACTGCACCAAATGATTAAGTAGAGAATGGACGAAAGAAAACTTATTCATAGAAAACGAGTGGAATTTATAAGAAAACAGGAAAAGATGAAAACAAGTTCTTATATGGAAGAATTACACACCTGGAAAGTTTCCGTAAAGGACTCATCTGCATCTTCAATTATAGGCTTGGATCCGTCGGGAACTGATCCTGTCAAAACTCAAAAGGTATAAGCTGTATGTCTTTCATTAGACCATCGCTAAATATTCACGTGAGAGATTGTAGAAGTACATCATGTCGGAATTCATGAAAACCAGAGTATGATATGGAATTCGATTCACATCAAATATCACTGAACTACTCCATGTATCAAATATCACCAAATATCATCAATTTCGAGTACTTTTGTACACCAGTTCTTCATCTACTTGAAGCTTTAGCTAAGGTACATTCCTTAAACAAGATTAGGAGAACTAACCGGTACTTGATGCAGGGGTGTCCTGCACGGGAGCATTATTAAGCATAAAGCTAGCGGTCTTTGCTTTACTATATTCTTTCTCTAACTGTTTGAGATCTTCCTTCATCTGGAAAGAGTAGAAAATAGAACATTATACTCAGAAAAATGTTGAAGAAAACATATTATTCGTTTTTGGCTACGTGAACTCAAACCAGTCTAAATTGATTACCTTGACGGAAGCATCAGAAAATGTGTTTTTCACATCGGACTTTTGTAAGTAGTCGTTCATCCTTGTTGCAGTAATACTCGCTTCATTCTCTGCTTTGGGAGCGCCTTTATCCATTGTTCTAGAGCTGTGACTTCCAAGATTCCTACCATCATATGTGGGCTTACACAAAACTTCTTGGTTGAACATTTTAACAAAGTCCTTCACCTTACCCTTAACTTTGCTTCTCCCGAGATTATCTCCTGAGTTCTTCGGTGAACCTTGGAAACTTGCTTTAATAACTTCAATTTTAGTCGAGGAACTTCTTTTTCTGTCCTCATGTTTTGCAGTTTTATTAGCGTCAACATCTGCAGATGATTTAACCACGACTTCCTTTTTACTACTCGTTTTAGTTACCTCATCATTGCCTGCATATGAAAATTTAGGCGTGGTGTCAGCGGTGGTACGTGATAACAGTTATCTCGCCATTACAGTTAATAATTTAACATACCTTGTTGAAGATCGTCATCAAAAAACAAAGAACGAACAGTATTTAGAACAGGCTCGTGAACTCGTTCCATAAGCGCAGGAATTTCTTTCTGTCGGTCTTCAGAAGAAGCTGTTTGAAGTAAAGGATGAGGCTTTATATCTTCACTTTTATGGAATGAGATGGTATTACCGGAAACATCTCCAGTAGTGTCCAGAAGGCTGCTGATGGTTCCTGATTTAGTTACGGGAAGAATTGCTTTCTCAACAAATTGTTGTGGATCGACTTTATCAGGAGTGATTTCATCAAGAAGCAAGTCATTTTCTTGTATGTTTCGTTCCAAGGTAGGGGACCTAGCATCGGCTAGTGGATCCTCATTGGAGAGAAAATCAGTATTAGGCAGAGTGGATTTAGGCGATTCCCTCCGCGTGCTCTCAGTAGCAGCGCTTTCCTTAGTGCTCGAATCTTCCTCATTTTTGGTTCTTTCCTGCACTCTTGAACCATTCCGTCCCCTAAGAGGTATCACGATTGGCACTCCTTTGCTTGCCCACCTGTAAATTGAGAAATGAAACTGAAACGGACTGCTAGAAGTTGGATTTTCCGAACTCTTTGAATCCTGTTCCGAGTTCAGTCCTGTGTCTGCTTTATCAGATGTAGCCAAGCTTGAGGACCCCTCACCAACAAGAGAAAAATCTCGGGATGAGGAGCTCTGGCGAGTACTGGATCGAATATCATTTCTCGACTCCTCATGAATTGCTTGGTTTGAAAATCTCGAAAGAGAGCTCGTATGAGCAGCAGAACCAAACGCAGGCAGGTCCACCACCCCTTTGCTAAATCCGTCAGGGAGGCTGAGAGATTTTGAAGCAATTAAGGTAAGGAACGCATGATTGATTCAATATGCAATGAACAAAATTAATTCAGTTTTAAAGGAAAAAAACATCTAAAACAAAAGGTAAACCACATTATTAGCAGCTTTTCAAACATAATGCATTTCTTCTTCCTCAATATTCTATGGTACCTGAATTGTGCAGGCAGTGAAGAAGCCGCAGAGGGCTCGGGTTTGTGCAGCAGGGGGTGGGCGGGGCTTAGACCCTGGGAACCTGGCGCCGAAGCAAAAGGGTCCCTCTGAAGCCTCCTGGGACTTGAACTGACAGAATGATTTCCTTTAAAGATGTCATCAAAGAAGTCATCGCTCTGCGTCCGTCTTCTATTCACAGACCCTTCCCCAAACACCGGCTTCTCAATCAAACCGGACGAATCATCATCGTCGTCGTCATAAGCATCCCTTTTCAATCCGCTGCTCTCGGTAGTTTCACTGAAGCTGTACCTCATATCGTTAGTGGACGACCGCCTCGGCGGGCCACCAAAAACGTCATGAAAATCCACGTCCGAGTTTTTGGTGGGAGTGTGGGAAGAAGAACCGGAGTTGACGAACGCACTCTGAGGACTGTAGCCCAGAAGAAGGCTCTCCCGCTGCGAAAATCGCTCCATTTCGATCACTAACCAAGCCCCCGCTAACAATTCATCGAAACAAAACTCGCAATGAGAAGACAATTTGAATGAAAATTTGGCGGGCAACTGCTCATGAAATCTTTCTGGTTCAACGAAACAGTTGCAGAGGAAGATTCTCGATTCGGCTAAATCGGAATTGAAAGGGAGAATTTAGGAGACTGGGGGCATCAGGTTGGGAATGTTTCCGTGGGATTTTGAGGCCACACAAAACAGTAGCAAGTAACGCGGAATTTGGATGGGAATGTTTGTGGATAAGTGGAAGAGTCCAAAAGAGTGAGGGGAAGGTATTGCCTTATTGGGCAGTTGGGATTTACGATATTGTTTTGGTACTTGGTAGGCACCCATAATCTGTTAATTGCTGTTGCATTTCATGGATCTCATGGTGGGAAATTCATACACAGATTTCAGAATTTTGTGGCCCTAATATATTTGATTATATCCTTCAAATGCAAAGTTAGCACTTCGGGTGATTTCAGGCAATCTATGATCGTCACACTACCACATGGTATTACTAATCTACATGTAAAAATGGACAACAGTAACACCACGAGGCAATGGTACGGTTTCTCCCGGATCATGAATATTACAGATTTACCCAATGCATTTAGCTCGGGCGGCTGCCCCGTTTCAACAAGGTTGTACATCAAACACAAGGTCGAATTCATAACCCAATCAAGCAAATATGCAGAATTAAAATACTAGCAACGGTTAGTATGCAAAGCAGTCGATGATGACAAACCCTTAAGTTAGATTTCTTGGTATAATATGATACAGAACAAAGGTCATCCCAGGGGATACTCTGTGAAACTCAAAATTACTATCCATACAAAACCAAAACTTGAATGGAACTCAGGGAAAAAAGAAAGAAAGAAAGAAAGGAAATGCTTCGAATTGGTCTCATCAGGTGCAGTCGATTTATCCTAACCTGTATGGCTGTATCAATTGAAAAACAGAGCATGTGTACGTAGTTTTTGGCCCGTCTGTTGAACTATACTACCATTGAGAACCATCAGGGAAAGGTTCCAGCGCATCTTGCTTGCCGTTAACATAGAAATCCATAATTGCCTGCATCCTTGGAAGTTTATCCGGGTGGTAATTTACATGAAGGATTACTGGTTTCAACCTTTTCAAATTAGCGTCTTTCCTGACCGTCTTGAAGAGGACCTTGCTATTCATGAAGAGATAGAAATCCATTGTTCTCTTGGAAGCATGAAGCCCATTGTACCCCGGATGTGAAGGGAAAAATAGTTCCTCGTTGAACACTGCTTGGTCCCATGCTTTTTCTGGCCTAGAGAGTCGTTCAGCCACACGATCCAAAAGCTCAATTGCAGGAAGCGTAGGCCTTATGTAAAAGAAACCAGAGTTATAAACCCATATCCTCATTGTGTGAGCATATCGAGCCCACCCCATAGAGGGTTCGTCAAACACATCATTAAATCCATAAGCTGTATAGTTATTGTGACCATCAGTCATGGACTCTACATCAGAATCCCGGTAGAGATGATTGAACGGGTTCTGCAAAAATACTATATCAACATCCGAGAGAAGAACACTGTAACCTAGTTGCAGAAACTCCCTCAAGATACGAAATTTCAACCCAGACACCGCATGGTTACCTCCCGTCTTCCCAATTGAATCAAAACCCTCATCTGGATCTCTTTTGTATACAGGAACACCATTAGCTTTGCAAAATTCTTCAATTTCATCATCTAACCCTACAACTAGATAATTGGTTATACCAACTTTCTTGATGCTAGTAAACCATACCTCCAACATGCTTTTCACATTTGAATTCGCAAGTGCAACTATAAGCTCTTTTTGTACTGCAACTTCCTCCAAGATCTTTGCCAACCTCGGATTCACAGATTCATCAGGAACAACTGCCGGGTTAGTTCTCAAGCCCTTGACGGTACCAAAAGGGCCAGCCTTATGCGGTTTACCTAACACAGAAAACTGTTCGTGTGCATGATCCTTTCCTTGTTCAGACAGCCGTAGCTTTTCAGTTAGTTCCTGCACCTCCTTCTTCAGCTCATCATTCTTGTCCGACAATGATGCAATATCTGACCTTAACGCAGTAGTCCGTTCTGTTGATTCACATTGTGATGAGCTAATCTGCAAGCAAAAGTAGCATAGCCAACCATATGACATCGTTCTCCTATTTAAAAAATTTTGATATTTACAATCTGTGAGCTTAATGCAAACTAAGCATTGTTGCTTTTGAAATAAAAGCACTTCTAGCGCAGAAGTGCTTTCTGCAATCCCAAAGAACACTTCCTAACTGCTTATGGACTAAAATTGATCTGAATCCAATTTCTCAGAAAAATGTAAGCTTTAGATGTAAGTTTAATTATCAGCTTAAACAACTTAGCAAATGCAAACTAGCAAATCAAATCATTAAATGAAGCGATTAAGATATGCAATTAGCGGTAATGCCAAGGCGAACAGGCAATGAGAGAGTAAATTAAGGAAGCGAGATTCGAACCTGAAGATCCGATTTCCCAAATCGGCGGTTTTGGATAGGCGGATAGGAGCTCAGGAATCCGTGAGGAAACAAGAAGGCGAAGACGCAACCCAGTAGGATTCCCATGACAATGGCGGTCACGATTCGAGATCCACGAAACGACTGCGTCTTGTCCCTCATCAACGACCCCTCTCTACGACCCGCCATCATTCCCGCCTTCTTCCCTTTCTCCCGAGTCGTGCGCAGCGGTTGACGAGAAAGAACGGAAATAAACCGATCGTCGATTAGTATTCTGCTGGCGGTTGTGGTTGCGGTGGAGTTGCCACTTCCCCTTTCAAAAATGACAGCGGAGCAGCGAGGTTGCTCTCTCTGAGAGACTGAGGAGAGAGAGGCGATCCAGCGGGCAAGGATTCTGTGCTTTGCGTGTAAGGAACTAGAGAATCATCATTGGCTGTCTTAGTTTGGCACATCGGCCACGATTCGCTGTTTTTTTGGTGAAGTTTGACTTTTTTTGGGGTTGGCAGTTACTGTAGTTTGAGTTTAACCAGGCCTGTTAGAGAAATTTTTAGTTGTGACGGTAACACAAATAATACATTACGTATTTTCATGTAAGTGGTGGAAATTTTTAATTTTTAAGTTATTATATGCTACCATTTATATGTGAATACGTGATGTACCACCTCGTGTGACGGCTACATTGAAAAATCTCTCAGCCAAGTGGGGCTAACAGCCTAACACCTCAAGTCCATTGAAGAAGGTTTTACTTCACATGTAGGGTAAATAATACTTGTTATGCATATTTTTCTTCGCATCACAATTTATTACTGAACTAAAACATATAACGACGATGAATTCCTTTCATATAAGTTTCTCTCTATCTTGTGGGCCTAAACATGAAGCCCAGTAGGCCTCACACCTCAAGCCCACTGGGCCTTACAACTCAAACCCCAATTGGAACATAGCTAGTAGAAAAATAGTCATTCAATACTGTCCCTCCTTTTCCACACCCCTTCATTATTTTGGGGTGTGATATCCACACACCCCATTTTACTTCTCACACACCTTTCTAATTTTCGGCCGTCGGATCGGATAAATTGAAGAAGATCAACGGATATAAATTAACAAGGATGTGTGAGAAGTAATTTGAGATGTGTGGATAGCACATCCCGTTATTTTTCCTTTCATTTAGGATAACGTCATTCACAGACTAATCTTTACTTCTCATACTCTATTAATTGTTTGCCATTTATATTTTTCAATTCATTCGACCGATGGTAGAAAAATTCTAAAGAGAGTATTGAAAGTACAATTGAATGTTGAATAGCGGTATCCTTCATATATTCGATTAAAATGTTTTATTTTTCTTCTTTATTTTCTCTTTGAGTTATTAATAAACAACTGTGAGGAGAACAAGAGAAAAGACAAAAGATGAATATTAATTAAACGAAAAAGTGGAAGAAGAATATAATAAAGTAAAGTAATGTCATGACAAAAGTAAATGGAATGGAATTTTATCCATGTGAGCAAAAAGGAAGACGAACAGAGGCAATACGTGACAAAAGCAATCCACTTTGCTTGTACATTAGCCTTGAACCGCCATAGAAGAAGGGAAAAATGGAAAAAGAAAAGAACAAACGTAGCATATACAAGAGAGAGAGAGAGAGAGAGAGAGAGAGAGGGTCCATTTGTCTGTGTCATGCATCATTTGAGCTGGTTACATATGAAACAACAACAGTTATATCATCAAGCTTGCCGCCATAATAACGGAACCCAGCATCTTGAGCGGCTGTGGAGAAAGGCGTCTGCCGGTCTCTATCCTGTGCTCGTTGGCGTGCCAACGCTGCTATCTTCTGTGCTGTCACCTGAGGCCCTAAGCCAGCTCTGATGGCATGAACTACCACTGCGGTTATCTCGTTGTTGTACAAGTTGTCGAACAGGCCATCCGTTCCTGCAATTATAACATCCCCCGGTGCAACAGGAACTGTAAAAACCTGAATCAAACAAAACCATCTCAGCTTGTGATATGCACGACAGTCATTCCAGGTCCTTTGAAACATTAAATGAAATATCAAAAGATCTAGTACACGATACTAATAAACCGTGGTAAAAAAATTGGGAAACATTGCTCCTGACCTGGCCAGAGCTAGGTAGATCACCGTTGTTTCCGCTCTCCAGTTGATAGGTAAAGTTAAAATCATGCTGTTGCACAGGGGATCTAAAGACGGTGCACCCATCTCGAACCACTATAAACCCACTATCACCTAAATTAACTGCATGAATACCCTGCAGTGAGATAGCAAACAGTTAATACAAGTCCCCAAATAATCAGTATGATAAAATAGCATTATTTTCAAATCCTTGCAATCCAATTAATCTACAAAAACCACTACAAAAAAGAGAGTAATGAAACAGAAATGTCGGAGCCGAGACTTCCAAAGTTATTTTTACTACAAACTTCATCACTTCAGCATGCGACATCTTTTAAAAGGCCTCACGAGAATAGATATTTGTTTTTGATACCTAGCATGAACCATAGTATCACTTTGACAGAGGTAAAAGGTTCTAACTAAACATCCTACTTAGAATGAAGAGAAGTTCCACACCTGTTCAGTGAGTGCTATGATACATGCTGTTGAGGAACCCCTGGCTTTCGTGCTCGAGTGAGCTTTCTCCAATACCCGAGCAGGGTCAACGGACCCCTTCGGCTCCTCCTGAACAGCAGCTACAGAATTAGACATCAGTTCTCTGGAGTACAATCCGGAATTAACACCAAGATCTGCCCAGCCACCAACACCATCTGCAACCCCTATTGCTTGTTCATTCGCACAAATGAAGTGAGCATCCTCCCCGCCAGTTTCCTCTTTGTCAGGATGGGGTAGGTAGTATGATCCAGAAGTTAGTTTTAGGGACTTTCCATCTGTAACCTCCCTATAATCATAGCAACATATGTTTAACAAATGCTAAGACTTATGCACTACTTAAAATAAGACATTAAATCAGGGCAAAAAGTTTTCCACCACAGAATACTTTATATTCCCATTAGTATTTACAGAATAAAGTACCAACACATGCAGGTTATTATTGAACAAAATATATGAAATTAGCAGAGAAACTAATTGTGATTTGTGAACACATATAATAGGTTTAGTGATTTCTCATCAAATCCAGAAACCTACAAAATGTCCTAACTATATAACTATTCAATTTCTCATTATATCCAACTTTCCTTTAAATTAAAGGCAACCCTAGTCGCAGGATGTATGTTACACAGAGAGCTAGAGAAAAGGAAATCAGTCGAGATGCGCGCTTAAAATAAAATAATATGCCACTACAACTAGATAAGACAACAAACAAAATAACATCTCAAAGACAAATATGACAAAGCATTTGAGATAAAAACTGGTCTCTAGAACTTACTCATTAGATGAATCTGCAGAACTTGAAACTTGGTCCTCAGGAGCAGAACTATCAAAAGACACGTCATGGGCAGTCCCAGTAGATAAGCATGTAGATGAAGCATGAAATTCCCTTGACCCGGATCCTTTACTTAGGGAGGAATTACACAATCTTTTTCCAACTTCATATATGAAATACCCATAAATTGCATTAGTGTTGGATTGCCCACCTTTTTTCAAACTCATGCTAGCTGTTTGAAAACAGTCGGAACTTCTTTTGTTATATAATGTACAGGCACTTTCAGGTACCACTGAATGAATCCCGCGCCTTGAAGTTAAATTATCTGGGAAGCATCCCCCAAATAAAGTTCTAGAACCACAGGCAGCCATAGGTTTATTCTGCAACTTGCTTCTGGCCACAAACTGACTGGGCTCAGAAAGCACACAATCGATATGATATCCACAGACCTGAATTGAAGGCCCTGACACAGACGGAGTTGAAATAATGCGCGAAATCTCTCCTACAACAGAAATGTTCCTTCTTTGGTTAACTAGCTGTGAATCCGATCTTGCAGCGAAAACAATGCCTGGTGAAAACAATGCTTGGAGGTCTGAAATAGTTGAAAACGATCTCGACTGGAACAACTTAGAATTTCCAAACAACAATTTGCCCTGCCCAATTAACCCATCTACCGATTCCTGAAGCGCTCCTTCCTGCCCAACAATTGATCTCTGCAACGCAGTCCTAATCTTCGACAAATATGAAGATGGCATCTTACCCTCTTAAACGAAACAGCTTAGCTTCAACCCCTCTATTGCATATAACACAAAGGCCACCGCCGTACGCAAAATTAAATCTCATAACTATATGCACGTCTAATCCTAGATCCACATGATCCCCTGTCGTCCGCCGATATATCACAATCGTTCAGACTGCTGAGAAACGAACACAAACGGTGCACGTAATCAGTCATCGAAATTCCTATCAGCACACAGCCCGCAAACAAATCTCCATATACACAAGCAATCAGATATATCTCCATATAAACCAGAAAATTGAAAATTAAGAAAACCCAGTAGCTAGCTAACATGTATCTTATCAAGCAGAGGTGTGTTAGGCCAGTTCGCTCGGCTAGCCTACCCCGGTACTTTGGAACACAAATCGTATAGCAAAATTCAAATTCAATTTCCTAAAAGTAGGCAAAAATTCATACTTAAAATAATGAAAAGGTAGCTGAAATCAAAGAAATAGAAATCTCACCTAGCTTAGCGGCCATCGGAACCGAAACCCAATCCAGAAAGAGCAATAAGTAGAACCCTAATTTCTCCAACTCCCAGAACTCGGCAATCGCCTCCAACGGTTAGAAAAGTAGACAGTCCCAGAAAATCCTAAATGCACGGGTTTTATGGTAGGGTATTTTCACTTCAGATTGAGCGTTGAATTCACTGACCATTTAACCACTGCTCTTACTGATATTTACGGAACACTACAGGTAGTTTATGATCCGTGACGAGGGTGGTTTGGTAATTGCGGTGACGGCTGAAGAAGTGAAGACTTTTAGCTGAAGTTTTTAGACTCTTTACCATATTTTTCATGATTCTTTTTTTTTTTTCCAATGTAATAGGAGGATAGGCTAGTGGTGCGTTGCGAATATACTTTTATGTTTTGGGAAATTATGTAAAAACCCCCCGGATTTTACTCTCATCACAAAAAATCCTCAATCATAATCATATTTTATTTTTCAACTAGGTTTTCGTTATCTTAAATTCAGCGCTTCTTCACTATGGTCAATTCTAACATCGATTAATATTGTTACTGAACTTTACTACAGCACATCGATGTCGTCTATGTCATAAAAATTCATTAAATTTTCTTTCTGTGTGTTGATGTGAGAGTAACCACACTAATAAAGTTGTATCTATTTTTCGTAATTTTGATTAGATCGGAGTGAAAAAAATTTGGAAGAAAATAAACGATAATGGCCATACACGTGTACCATGACAGGCTTGAAGTGGAGGATTGGTTTTCTTCTGTTCAAAAGGTGGAAGATGATCAAAAGTGAAAAGTTGGAAGTAGGATACCGCTAACAATTAGAATAAATTGGTGGTTTTTGAGGTGACGTTAATACTATCCAAAAGATTAGGAGGGAACTTTTGTCATTTTATATGTGATTAGATTAGATGTGTAATCACATGGTTATGCTTGAACAATTATATTCCTCTCTATTTGTTTAATCATTACACTTATCCTATGTTCTCACGTGTAACACTAGTTTTTTTATATTTCATTATGTTTGAACAATTTTGTTTATTTCCATATTATTTACTGTATGTTTTCACACACTTATTTCTTCCGTACAATTATATTCCTCTCTATTTGTTTAATCATTACACTTATCCTATGTTCTCACGTGGAACACTAGTTTTTTTATATTTCGTTATGTTTGAACAATTTTGTTTATTTCCATATTATTTACTATATGTTTTCACACACTTATTTCTTCCGTTATGCTTGAACCGTTATATATATATATATATATATAAAATATGAAATTCAAGGGATAAAGAACATTAATTTATTTTGTATTTGAAGTTTTGAGTTCGATTATCCTCTCTTCCCAATGTGATTTGTATCAAATAAGATTGAGCATTACTGGACATAATTCTCAATTACTATGTTTCAACAACAAATCTCCCGGGAACTTAAATCTGCAAACTACAAAAAAGATGAGCTCGACCAACCTAGTTTAGATAGAACAATAGTTTGAAATTGCATGCCAAACATTAGACTATTGAAAAATTCATGGAATCGATGACTATCATCTCAGCCATCTTCAAATGAAAATGCATTTACTTTTATCTCCAACTAGCCTCCATGCACGCGCTCACGCACATGCATTTACTTTTATCTCCAACTAGACATTTTTTGAATCACGAAGTGCTATGCGCGATTTACATGTTTTAAATGTATTTATTAATATATATGGAAATGAATAATAAATACATTTAATTAAAAAGGTATTTTAACTAATCAAATCAGCTAAATCCATATTAATAAAAGCGGTACTTCAATTTCCATTTACATTTTATTGAATTTACATTAAGATTAAAAAAATAATATTTAATAAACAACTGATTGCAAGCCCATGGTAAGGCTAAGCCTACTCCCTCCCCTTAGACCATCTCCAATCCTTGGGCTAAAAGCCAAATTTTTTAGCCCGAAAAATTTAGTTTTTAGCCCAGAAACATCTTTTCTGCTCCAACCCTTCTACCCTAAAATTTTAGCCCGAAATTATTAAAGAATGAAATTAGCCTAAATTTTTTTCTTAAATCAATTAAAAAAAATATGTAGATTATTGTAAATTAATTTTATGAACATTTTAATCTAAAAAATTTAAATTCCGATAAACATTTCGCATTTAGCCCGGGGAGAAAGCTGGGGGGTATTTGGCCCAGAAATAGCATTTGGCATTTAGCCTAAAATTTTAGCATGGGTTGGAGAGTGTTTGGGGGGTGGGTAATTTGGCTTTTAGCTCAGGGTTGAAGATGGTCTTAGTGTAGATAACATCATTTGTTGAAAAAAAAAATTATCATTTGACAACTAATTGAATCACATTATTATGCGCATGCGAAAGACTTTTTTTTTATAACTGGCACCATGCACCTTTTAAGTGTTTAAAAATTAAGAAATAATATTTAATAAACAACCGCATGCAAAAGACAATTTTTGAATCACAACGCGCTACGCGCGATTTAGACATTTTAAATGTATTTTATGTGCGTGAATTGCTTCAATATTTTTTTATTTCGTTATTTTCTTTTTTTATCACGGGCAACACAACATTCATGATTTTTCTAATTTTTTATTATATTTTTCTTCTCCATTACGTGGGCACCATCAACTTTGTCATTTGTTTATTCTTTTCTCTCTTCCCTTTAATTTTTTTATTCTCTTCTCTCTCCCCATTTATATTTATATTATATTTTATGATGACCAAATTACCAACTTGCCCTTGCATGATTTGATATATTACTTTGGGCATGTTTTGAAATTTTTTGGCTGAGGGGCAATTTGGTCCAATTACTTTTGTTGAAGCCGGTGACACCAAATTGAGACTTTGGCTTTATATATAAGAGATATGTCTTTATATTAGAGAGTTACGCATTCCAATTCAATACTTACGAAACGAGTTTGTCGAAAGAAAAATTCATTTATATGTATTGCACAATTGATAATTGGAATAAAAAATTTATATGGTGTAGAATATGCCACATCATTTTGTGCACAAACCTGATGCACAAATTTGGTTTATGTAGCAACACCCAATTTGAGTTGAATAGTAACTCTAAGTAGCCGTGGTAAATCTCAGTACACCAAAAAATTGCTCAACAAACAAGAACGGCAAATTGACACGTTTTAAATGGGACTCATAACCAAAATGAAAATCAAGAAGCCAAGTTGAAAGAATATAATAAATTATTGATTTGCAAGTAACTCTGAAGGACATAAGTTGCATGCTAAAATTTTATTGCATAAATTAGTATGATTTAATCAAAACAGGTCTATATATGTTGAAACATACATTCTTTGAGCACCCTGAAACAAAACTTCTCAATGTTCATAGTCAAGCTTATTTATTAGCATCAACAACAATAAAGCCTTATCCAACTCAATAGAGTCGGCTATATAAATCATAAAACGTTATTATATTCGGTTTTGCACCAAGTTTCGTCTTCGAAAAACCTCCAAAATTTTCATTAGCATCCATTCCCCAAATTTTGTTGTCGGATAACCTACAAAATTTTCAATTTGCAACCTTGGTGAAAATGATCTGAGTGCCGTACTGGGGCTGTAAAGTTAAAAAGAGCATTGGGCCATGAACATATGTTGGTGACATCCTGAAAGAATAGCGCTGGATGATGAGTGCCAATGCTAGTTTTGCTTCAACCACGGCCGCAGTTTGACCTGCGCAGATTCGAGGCCCCAGGCCAAATGGGATGAACGAGGCTGAATGCCTTCGAGACTCCAAAAACCTCGATGGATTGAATTCGTGAGCATCTTCTCCCCATATCTCAGTGTCGTGATGGATAGCGATCAACATCAGATAAAGTTGTGCATCAGCAGGAATTTCCAGGCTCCCGAGCTTAACCTTCTTTGTTGCTTGCCTAGGTAGCATCGGGGCTGGAGGGTAGAGCCTGAGCGTTTCATTAACGATCATAGTTATCTGTTAAAAAAGTAACAGAAAATAAACAAAATGTGAGGATCCAGCAACTTGTTTGCGTAATTTAAGTGCTAATTTAATCCAAAGTGCAGAGCAGCAGTGATACAAATAAATAGGAATGGATTTCGTTATGCTGGCGAGATTGAGATAGCTGTATGAGCTTACATTCTTGAGGTCATTTAAGTTCTCTGCAACCGGGAGCTGATTGTCTCCGAAAACGCAGAATACTTCTTCCCTAGCTTTGCTTTGCCATTCCGGATGCTGTGCTAGAAGTAGTAGTGCCCAAGTCAAAAGATTGGCGGTTGTTTCCTTTCCTGCAAAGTAGAAGGTTTTGCATTCATCTATAACTTCCTGTATCCCTAACTTTTCGTCTTCACCATCCGGATTCTTGTACGGCGTCATTAACAGACTAAGCAGATTTCTTGAATCTCCCTTGTTTTTGCCATTTTTCGCAATCAACGTCCGTATGGATTCACTACTTTCCTTGTCTAATCTCCACCTTTCTCTGTTACTCTTGGTAGGCAAAAACCTGCATGCCAGAAAAAGCATTCAAAGAGAAGTACCTTGTTGAATTAAGAACATCTCAGTAATTAGCAAGTATACAAACTAAGTTTTTTTTTAAACGACAACAGTGAGGGTAACGAAGGTTAGGAGAACATACAAACATATACATATATATATATATATATATATATATATATTATATACATACACCAACAGGGTTTGAAGTAGTCCACCTGAATCCAGGAATGTAAATGCTCCTTTCTGCCTTCATGCAAAGATGCATTTGTTGTCTTGCAAGTCGAAAACATGTTTTCCTTCCTCGAAACAGCTTCCGAAAGCTGTCCTCGATATGACATCTCCTAAGAGCAGATGAAGTTCTTTGTGCACATCCAACTCAAACTCTTCTCTCCCTCCTCTTACATCCTCCCATTTCTCCAACATCTTCATTGTACTCCCCACAATCTCAGGAACCCAACTCTGTTGTATTAGAAACATCATCAACACCACCACCATTCACATCAAATAATATGCATGTGAACCTAATACAACAGGCCCTTTATTAAGAGGGATTACATTTTTCTGTAAAAATAGGGTCATCTTGGATTGATTTTAATGAAATTGTATGGTTAAAATTAAATCACAGACCATACAATTTCATTAAAAGTTAATCTAACGATCAAAAAGTGTT